GGGGGAAGCCCCACACCCCCTAATTTAAGGGCTTTCGGTCCGCTTTTGCCCGATCTTCAGCTGGGTTTTATATAAACATATTATACTTTTTTAAAATTTGCTAACTCTGAACAATTATTCTGAATTTTATATTTTGTCATTTATTATATTATACATACAAAATAAACTAGCATATAAATAATTAAACCAATATAAGACATTTCTAAAAATAATATTTTTTAATACAAAATCTATTTATTACAGTATATAATATTTTCGATTGAGATATAAAATATTTTACGTCGAAAGAATTGCAGTCATAGCCATGACATTAACGATGTTAACTCATATCTTATTATGTTAGATAAATTGATAAAACAAAAACACTAAAAATCTTTAGATATTATTCAAATATATTGAAGCCTTAAGTTATTTATAAGGCAAGGATGCCATATTATAAATGAAACATTTTGTAACTATAAAATAAGAACCAGAGTGATATGATGAAAGCAATTAAGATTTTATATATTATTGTCGCACCACCTCTAGTTGGTATATTAAATCTTAAAATAATAGTGGTTAGCAATAATATCAAAAATATACTCGTATTAAAAATTTAGCTCAATACTGTTTTTAAATAAAAAATAGCTTTCCTAAAAATACTGAAAAAAAAGAAGAAAAGATATCTAATTTATTACATCTATTGTGGGATGAATAATGAGATTTTTATTTTTAATAATATTTTTATATAAATAGATGGCGTTAAAGAATTGAATGCAAATTTTTAGTTATATTCATTATCAACAGCATTTATTGGTAAAATTTATTAAAATATTAACTGAAATATTATATCACCGTCAAATACGTCTGTAAAAGTGCATTTTACCTAATATTTTATAACCAATTATATATAAAAGAGGATTATAAACTATGTTTATTTACTTTTTATATAGAAATCTCTTATATATACTTATTTGGACCTTGAAAATATTTTTCAGGAGAGTCATGGTAATTAAATTTAAAATGATTAATAAAATTGATTAGTGATTTTGAACTCGGCTAAATACATATTAAATTTGAAAATTTTCAATTAATAAATTAGTATTAGTATATTTATTTAATTAGGGTTATATAATAATTTAAATAATATAAGTCAATTAAGCTAATACTGTTAATGCGAAATTTTTAGTGATGGAATTCTATTTTTAATACAGAATTTGATTGCAAGTTGACATAGTGAAAATATAATTTATATGTATTAATCTAATCTAATAATTAAAATAGTATTCATTTAATAAAAATTAAAATAGTCTTATTAATTTCTAAATAATAAAATTAAATCTATATATTACTTAAGGGAATTATAAAAGAAATCATTCAGGGGGCAATCAAAAAAATTTATTTTTAGTTCAAGAGGATATTAAGTAGCCATTAAAAATTTTTTTGCTTCAGTTCAAATTTTTCAGGGGTGTCGAGCCCCTGCGCCCCCCCCCCCCCAGTGACGCCACTGTCAACTATATTATTCATTTTTAAATTTAATAGCCATGCCTCTTCCTAAAAATATTTCCAAGGTCCAAACAAGTATAAGAAATTTCTCTATAAAAAGTAAGTATATAATTGATAATCCTCTATTATATAGAATTGGTTACAAAATATTAGGTAAAATGCCACTTTCACTTTATATTTAACAGTTATAGAATATATTAGTTAATATTTTAATAAATTTTGCTAATCAATGCTTTTGATAATAAATATAAGTAACGATTTGCATTCAATTTAAAGCCATCTATTTTTAATAAATAATATTAAAAATTAACCATCTTATTATTCATCCCAAAATGGATGTAATTCTTATTATATATATATATTATCTTCTCTTTTTTTGTGATTTTACTTCTTTGAAAAACAGTTTTGATTTAAATTTTTAATACGAGTATATTTTTGATATTACAAACTATTATTTTAAGACATAATTTACCAACTAGAGGTGGTGCGACAATAATATATAAAATCTTAATTGCTTTCACAATATCACTCTTGTCCTTATTTTATAGTTACAAAATGATTCATTTGTAATATGGCATCCTTACCATAACTTTTTTATCACTTGTAATTCTTTAAACATAATTTTTTTTTATATCCGCTATAGAATATTTAATATTGTAATAAATGGATAAATATTTTGTATTAAAAAATATTATTTTTAGAAATGTCTTGTATTGTTTTACTTTCATTATTTGTATGCATAATAAATAACAAAATCTGAAATTCAGAATAAATGTTCAGAGTTTGCAAATTTCAATTAAAAAAGTATAATATATTAATATAAAACCTGACCAAAGGCCGGGCAAAATAGGGGTTATGGGGGACGAAGCCCTAAATAAATTTTTTTTAGTTGAGCCTCCTGAAACTGTAAAGAGAATAATTTTGATCATATAATTAATCTAGAAGTATTAAGAAGATTTGATAATACTGGACTGACAACGACGACTGATAAAATTAAAATTCAGTTACTTATTTAGGTTAATGACGAGGAATTCACCCGACAGAAGATAAGATTAATGCTATAAAAAATTGTAAAACATCGTCTAATGATAAAGAATTACGTTCGTTTTGGGGAATGGTAAATTACCATGAATCGTTTATAAAAAATTTACACGCCTTTACACCGACTAGCGAGTAAAAACGTGAGTTGATTTTGGTCAGCTAAAGAAAATGAAAAATTTAATAGTTAAAAAAATATTATTAAAAGATACAATAATTCCTTATTAAGTCGATATTCCTGTCGTGATTTCTTGTGACGCTTCCGAAGTTGGTCTATGAGATGTTATTGCACACCGATTTCTTATTGGCCAGGAGAAACTGATTGCTTAGTGTTGTTAATTGCTTGGTTGTGTAAAACCCAGACCCGGGGTTAGGTCTAAAAAATCGACCAAACCAGCTCTAAGCACGACAATGAAGCACGAACCCCGAGCACAGACCCGGGGTCCAGTTGAATAATGTTATTCCAATTAGTAAAATAAAAAAATATAAGCATGGCATTTCCTATGGTTAGATAGTAAAATCCTGCAAACAACTCAGCTTAGGGTTAAATTTTTTTTAATCGGAACCACATAGGACTTAGAAATACCAAAAAAGTAGGATCAAACTGAATTATTATGTTGGTAGGCCGAGCGATAAATTCCAGCTATGCCATCCTAGTTCAGAATTAGATACGAGCTTTCTGGCCGGATGTGTTTAATTTCATCGCTATTTTTTTGTTAGACTTGGTTATAAAAAAGCCTCTTTTTCCCAGCCTATTCTCGAAATCAAAATAAATAAAATCTTCAATTAACACTTTTTATAAAAAAATTTTTATTTTTATTTTTCGTCCATATTTAATTACAATATGTATTAAAATAAAATTTTACTTTGTTTACCCCTTTTATTGTATATTTAAAAATAATATTATTACTCGTTTCACTTCACTGTAATCGGAAATTATGTGGGGGATAAATTTGTTTATAAAAAAAATATATATATATAGTTAAAAGAAAGTAAAATAAAAATTAATTTCTATATTTAAATAGATTCTGGCCGTGCTGGTAAATTATTTTTAAAAAAATTCGGATTCGGGCCGAAAAACATTTTAATCAAAAGCACCCCAAATTTAAACAAATATTTAAATGATAAGAAAATGAGATTAAAAGCTTTAATTATTAATTTAGAATGTATAAGATTTAATTTAAGATTACTAAATGAGATTTATTTTTTCTTTCTTTTCATTTATCCGTGCCCCGGGTCTAATCCAGGGTCGACCTGAGCACATAAAAGGGTCGTAAATTTTACGACCAAGCAAATTTACACTATTGCTTACGCATCGAGGAAACTTTCGGCGGCTGAAAAGAATCACGCCGGGATTGATCGAGAGGCTTCGGCGATCATGTTCGCTATCAAGAAGTTTCATCAATCTATTTGGAAGACATTTTATTTTGGTTACAGATCATAAACCATTAAAATATATATAAGGTGATAAAAGAGACCTAAATAAAATTTAGCATTTAACACATATTACACTTTTGCAAAAGGGATTTATGAATCTTTACCACACTTTCACCAACTCGTGATAATGTCATTTCAGTTTCCAAAATTATAGTGAATTTCTAGGTATAAATCTAAGTAAACTCTTTGTATGTTGAGCTATAAATAGAAATTATTCTGAATTTGAAATTTATTGTCTCTGAATACTCGTCTAAAATATCTTTTTATATAGAGAAAATGAAAGTGAATATAGATGTAAAGCCGAATTTATCAGGGAAACCACCATAAAGCATTCCTAGTTACAGGCTTCGCCTATATTATTAAAATCATGATATCCTACAAATCCTATTTATTTAAATATTTAAAAATATTATAAGCTTTCTAAAAATTTATCGTTAGTTTTAAAAAAATGCATCGGAATATTTTTTTTAAATAGGAAAGTCTTAGGCAAAAAAAATCACATTTTTTTCGGACAGGTTAGATCGTCAAAAACAGGTTCAATACAGGCTCAAATTGCTATAAATCAAATTTTTCTTGATTAGAAAATATAAAATAATTAAAATCAAAATTCAGGTCATGAACCGTTTAGGTTCTGTTCTATCCATTAATGTTATGGCATACCAGTTTAGCGTTTGAAAAATTGAGGGTTTGGTAGTCATTATAAATAATTAATTATACAAGGTTGTTTTAAAAATATTATTATATATATATATACAACCTTAAAATACTGAAATTATTCGGAATTAAAACAACCAAGCAGATAAAAATTTTAATGGGCAAACAAATTTGTGTAAATAATATTCTGCAACGATTAGTTTTGGCTCGCTATCTATTAACATTATGCGCTCGAAGGCTTTTATAAGCTAGCTAAAGCCTAACACAAAATTCGATTCAGGAGAGGACCAGTGATTAGGTATTAAATTAACAAAATAAAACCTTATGTAAGACTTATAGCATTGAGAATGGATAAAATAACAATAGCGAGAACTTTTACTAGGCTAAGCCCGTTTAATAATTTTATTCATTTGATGTAAAAAGCGAAAATTAATTGAAAAATAATTATAATTAAGTTACAAGATTGTTCAATCAAAATATTTAAATGGTTCAGGAGGAGCCGGTTCTTCCCCTTCATCTTCTTCGGCTTTTGATTGAGACGCTGCATTAATTTTATAATAAATATATATGATTATTTAGCATTTGATAAGTTTACATTTTATATTAAATAATTATTAAAAAATGCAAAATGAGAATTACATAGATATAAAAATAGTATAGATTATATTTAAAATGAATTATTCGATATTATTGATTTGAATATAAAAAATATCTTTCTTGCCGAATAATATTTTATCTATTATTCGAAATTATTTATAAATATTTAAAATTGTTGGTAGTGTTGCGTAATCGGCTAAAAACTACGCCTAAGCCTAAAATCGGATAAACCTAATTAGGCTAAGCCTAAAAATCGGCTAAGCCTAAAACGGCTAAGCCTAAAAATCGGCTAAGCCTAAAACGGCTAAGCCTAAAAATTGGCTAAAATAAATTAGTCAAAAATTCTGCATCGATGTCTAGCATTAATTATTATTTATTTATTTTAGTAAAACAATTTATTTTATTTATATTTAATGTAAATATTTTATTATTATCAACAAATAAACATGATATGATTTAATATTTTTTATTTATATTGTTATATTTTGAAATGAAAATAAATTTATTTATTTGATTTTTTAATAAAAAAAATAATATGCTGCTATTATAAAAATGTAATATTATTTTTAATATAATTTATTAGTGATTTTTTTCACAATCTTCTTTGTAAATACATCTTTTATTGAGGAATTATATTGTAAATTTTATTAGATAAAAAAAACAATCTTTTAGGTGAAATCTTTTATAATTTTTTTTTATCAATTTTGTAAAACTATCTATTTTTTATTAAATGAGGTGTTTTTTTTAAATAATATTTATATTAAACTTTTTTGATGTTATTTTATATGATATTTTTAAGGATAATATTTTTTAATGTGAGAATTGTCATAATCGTTATTTTTAAAGTTTTTTGACGAATATATGTTAAAATAAGTTTTGATACCATTTAAATAAAATTTAGTGAAGATGTACCGTAGAAAAGTGACAATTGTCATAATCGTTATTTTTAAAGTTTTTTGATTTTTTTTGACGAAAATAGATTAAATTAAGTATTGATAACATGTTATACATATTATGCTGAACTTTTAAAAATATTTATATTAAACTTTTTTGATGTTATTTTATATGATCTTTTTAAGGATAGTATTTTTTAATGTGAGAATTGTCATAATCGTTATTTTTAAAGTTTTTTGACAAATATATGTTAAAATAAGTTTTGATACCATTTAAATAAAATTTAGTGAAGATGTACCGTAGAAAAGTGACAATTGTCATAATCGTTATTTTTAAAGTTTTTTGATGAAAATAGATTAAAATAAGTATTGATAACATGTTTAAATACATATTATGCTGAACAACCCATAAAAATTAAATATATTAATTTTAAATTCCCAAATAATGTAATATTAAAGTTAAGTTAATATCATTTTACCATGTTAACAAGAAAATATTTAAAATTGTGGCTAAGGTCATTCAGTAACTTCCTCAAGTGCTAAAGATATGACCTACAGTTTAATTTAGTAATATCTTTAGTCTTACTCATTTTAATTTAATATTGGATAAATTTGAACACTTATGTAAATTTATAAAAAATGCTCTTAATGGCGCTAATATTAGACAAAAAGTTTGTAATAGTGAATTAAGTGGTTAGTTAATATCAGAGACTTGCAGGCCCGGCCATGCTGGGACGGATTTTTTTAATCCAAGCTGGGTAAATGGTACCTCTGCAAGTCTCTTGTTTAAATTATGAATTCTAAAATGTTATAAAATTTACTATTTGTTAAGGTTACAATATCTTCGGATAAATAATCTTTTGTATCATAAAGAAGAATTACACCTCCTTCAGTAACCTATAAAAATAAATGTTTTGTAAATATAATATAATTATCCAGTTCTTCGATTCTGATAAAATCAAAAGGAATTTTCTAATGAAGAAGTATCGCTGATGAATTTTGATTCTGTTAAATTTATGATATTGATAAATATTTAATGTTGTTTTAGGTGGGTAAATTTTAAAAATAACTATTTACATGTTATATTTTCCACAAATAGTGGCAGATACTATAAAGTATAAACTATAATAAAAAAAAGACGACTCCATTCTTTTAAAAGCTGGAACAAAAAAATTGTTAGTAGCTCAATAAATATTTACTTAATCTATAAAAAACTGCTAAAAATTAGAGATATAGAAAAGACAATTTCTATTTCTTAGCAGGGCAAGTAATACTCAAGTTAAAGGAAGGGGGCAGACGTTTATGGTTTAAAGCTAGTAATTTTTTGAACAAATTAAAATATGAAAACACATCAGAAAAAATTTAATAACTTTAATTTTTATTTATTTCAGTATTCCAATCTTTAAAAGCAAAAATATATAATATAATTATCTAAATATATTTAGTAACAAATAAAAAAAATTATGTAAAAACATATATAAAAAAGCAGTTTGAAAAATCTTTGACGATTTTTTTAAAGAAGAGAAATTTTTTTTCTAAAAATGGCAAAATCTTTAGTAATTTTTATGCATAAAAAATGTTTCAATATGTAAAATCACAAAATCTAATCTGAAAAAAAGTAATATCCAATCAAATTAAATCAACTTAAATTTTAATGGTTTGAAAAAAAATATATATAAAAATATGCAATTAAAATATCTGGGTTCAGAAGGTATTCCTATAAAAAGTGAGATAAGACTTTGAAGTTTGATTCTCTGAGGGGCAAAAACTATCTAAACATAAACATCATTTTATTTTGGCCAAATCGTTTAGTAATCATATAATTATTATATATTTATAAATTTTGATTTAATAATAATTGTGTTTTCTATATAAAACTATTGCACTATGGCACGAAGCAAAAAAATTAGATTCCTTTTTAAAACACAGAGGAACAGAAAATTCAGTTTACATCCAATCCAGAGTTCTATGAACATCCTTCATATTACATTTTGTACATCGTTATATGTCAAAACTCTGGATCATAAAGGGCCCCTGAAAATCTAACTATTGGTGAGGTTTCCTCTGCTTTTGATTCTGATTCGAGTTTATCTTCGTCTCAATCATATCATCCTTCAATATTCTTGGGCGACATAATATTCAAACGAGGGTTTGCGCCAAAATAAAATTTGAGTCTATATAAATCGTCTATACTTTTTTTCCCATCATTTCCCGATAAGTGTGAAAAAAATTTACTACTTGTTGCGTTAAAATAATACCAAAATATTTGATGCCACCATGTTTTGCTCTTTCTGTCTATCCGGTAGAGAGAATGGTGGTCAAACAAGCCTACTGAAGAATTCGTGAATTCATATATCAATTTAAAATTAAATCCAACACTTTCGTATAAAAAATATAGCTCAATTTAAAAATTATTTTAAAAAAACTTTCTATATCAATAATAAAATATCTTATACTTTCATTTTTCTTAAAACATAGTAAACAAAAACGTTATTCATTTTAAAAAAATACACAACACTCTCTAACATCAATCACCATATCCCTCTTTCGTATACACATTATTACAACAGACAGCATGGTAACTATTCTATTGTCTTTCCAATTAAGTCCTATATCATCCTAAGAAGTCCTATATCTCCTTGTTTTAATGGTGGGATTGATTTTTCTCCACCCATATTTGTTGCTTTTCTTCAATTCCTGCACTAATGGAAGTAATTAATAAATTCAAAGTATGAAATAAAGTCAGATTACTTTATCTCATCAGAGGGACGTGAGTTATTGTTACAATCACTAAATTCTGACTAAATACTGATTCTTTAGATAGATTTACATGATGACAATAAAAGAATAGAATCTTCTTCTAAAAAAGATTGGTCATCATACATTAAGTCAAAATCAGATTCAAACTCTGAATATCTAAAGGAATAAGCTACCCGTATCCCAATAATTAAATCTGTCTCCCTACAATAAAAACATCACCTATCCATATCCGTATAAATGCTTATCATTTTAAAATTGCTTGGCTAAATATTATATAAAAAATTTAATAAAAAATAGATAATTACAAATAAAATAAATAGATGGAAGCAATAATTGCATGCATTATTAACATAGAATTATAATTAATACCAGGTTCAAATCTTTGCCTATAATTAAGTTTCCTCAAAGGGTTTAAAGATTCCACAGATTCATTTATGAGTATAGTGGAATAAATATTTATAGAACTCTATTATATGAATTTGTTTTTATAAAATTGATATTACTACAGATACTATCAATTAAAATATTTTTTAGGCATGGTTAAAAGTTGATAAATTTTTTTTTAATAAGAAGAGGATCTATTTTCAGTCAAGGTTTAAAACTTATGTGACTCCATATTAGAGGTCTGCAACAGGCCGGTTAAAATTATAAACATTGGGAGAGCGAGTGGGTGGGTTAAAAAAAATTTTAAACAATAAGTGAGAGAACAAATGGGTAAATTTGAAATACTTTTAGGACGAAATTAACAGAATATATATATTAAAAATTACTTTTTTTTTATCTCAAAATTAATATTGCATAATAAATAAAAAGCCAAACTTTTGGGTGGGGGGGGGGAGTGTAAATATTTTTATCAAGGACCGTCCAGTAGGCGGTTAAAAATCTAAAAATGCCTTTGGGTTAAAATCCGCGCATTGCAAACCTTCATCCCTCATTTATAGTTAGTAGGAAATCGCGGCAAATTATACAAAATACACTGTATTTCTCTATTATCTGCCGTGAATTTGCGCTAACTTAGAATGCAGGGTTAATCTGCAATCAAAACAAAATTGATGATAGTGAATTTAAGATTAGGATAAAATTATCAAAATGTTTAATAAAATAATGAATATATTACAGGCTTTATAGGTTCGTATCGAAAATTCTCTGGCAGGGAGACAACTTTCAGCTTTAAAAAGTTTATAATTTGAAAAAAAATAAAAATATTATTTATTAATTGTATAATCATCATATCTAAATGAAGGCTAAAAATAGCAATTTGGGGATTATTAAAAATAGGAGTTAAATATGATAATTTTAGTTAGGTTTATATCAAATAAAATATAGTAGATCTATAATGTGATATGATTATAAATATATCCCCTGCTATTTTATAATAGCCCACAAATGCTAAATTTTATATCTTTAATATTATAAGATATTCATTTCAAATTATATACCTGTTCACTCATGATACGGGCTGGGTTAAGAACCACCGAAAAAGTATTGCTTAAAAGGTTACAATTGACTTGTTCAGTTGAAAATGTAGGTAATGATGGATTTATAATATCATAGTCCATCAATTTTTTGTCATCTTCCTAAAATTGTAATAATGTAAATATTTAATGTGGAAAGTTAGATTTTAAATTCATAATAAAAACTGGTCAATTTATTGGATTATCATAAGAAATATTTTATACTATTACAATGGACAGTTTTAAATTTTAAGAGAGTTTTGTAAATTTAAATTATAAAATTACCTGTCAAAAAATGTAATAATTTATTTGAATTTAAAAAAAATACTAGTATTTTGATTATAAAATTCAGGCCTTTGTAATGTAATGTTATTCATGTTTGTGAATAATTTTCTGAAAGAGAATAGTAAAAAATTTCGCCAAATGTATGGGTATGGATTAGAGCTATACAAGTTCAATTGTTGCAAAGGAAAATATAAAATGTTTAAATGTATGAAATAGTTTTATTTTTAATACTTGATAATAAAAGATATTTCAATATATAATTTAGCGTTCTCGTAATAAATAAATTTAATTAATTAAAATATAACACAATAATCCTAAAATTATAAAAGGTAAACAGAATATTGGACCCAACTGTCCATGGGCGGTAGATAAAATGTTTCTGCCCAAAAAAATTACCCTTTTAAGTTTCAAGAACTTTTGGATAATTTTTTTAAAATTTTTTAAGGTCTTATTTAAGGCTGTGCCCATCCACAAATTTTTCACCGATTCAATATTACTAAAAACTCGATCCGATTCCGATATTTATATTTACCATCCACCTTTGTATCAATGTCATAAATAACCAGCTAACTTTCACGAATAATTAAGTGTAGTTTATTTTTCAGAAGTTAATATTCTCATTTAAATATTAGCAATGTTTATGAATGTAGTGTTGTTAAACAGCTCCATTTAGTCGATTTTTAAAAAGGACCAAATCAAAATTATAACTAAAATATCATTAACAATGCCTCGAAATTTCGCCAATCAAACCTTTCTGATATCTGTGGGAAAAATCAATAAGCCTGGGTAATTTACTCTTGGCTAAAATTTTGAGTAAATTGTTTTTAAATTGGCGAAATCGAGCTCTTTAACAACACTTACTGAATGGTGTCGGATTAAAATCCTTTTCTTTTTGCAGATAATATAACAAAAAATAGTGTAAAATTTTAAATTATTTTTTTAAACATAACAAATAAATTGTATGAATAGTTCCTTTCATTAATTTATTATGAAATTATCAAAAACAATTTTAAAAAATATCGAATCAGATCGCCTTTTCAAAAAAGATATGCCCTACCCGATATTTGTTGAAACGGTAAATATCAGTGTCGATCCGATTCGATATTAAATATAGGCACAACCCTAGTCTTATTAATTTTAACGACCTTTTTTGAATAGAAAAAAAGGATAATAATTAAATTTTAAGGAAAAAGATGGATAAATGAAAATAACAATATATGAAAACAAGCTATCATTGTAGCTACAGAGCTGTTACCCTTTTGAATGGGTTAAGTTACAATCGATAGCGCAGAAGGAACTTATTTTGTAAAGCACTAAGGTTTTGCTGCACCATTTTAAAATACTATCAATGTCAAAAAATGATAATATTTAATTTATTTAAAAAAATATATATTACTGTATTTTGAGCGTTAAGACTAATCAATGAGTCCGATAGTTTTTTTTTCTTGCATTCGTTTGAAATAATAGGGCTGGAATGCAATGATTCACTTTCCTTGTTGATATTTTTTAAAGGCTGGGCTTCTTTTACAAACAAATCATCCAATTTTCCAACTTTTGTCAGTGAATCCTAATTTAGCATATAAATTTGATTTAACCCTTTCATGCAGAGGCAAAATATTTTATTGAAAATAATGAAAATATATAGTAAAAATCTCATATAATTTCGTAATAATTTTATTTTTTAAAATATATAAATTTCATAAGATATTACAAAAATTAAAGTGGGACATTTGCTATCCCATGCAAATAAACACATTTATGATTTATTATTCATAAACGGTTTAAAACAGTTTCGATTTTTGGAGACATAACGCCACATCACATACCGATGTCCAATCTGAATCTTTCATTCACGCTAAGCTAAAATATAACCCAATTTAAAAAAACTTTATTTCATTGTTACACGTTTAAAACATTATTTTTTTTATAAAATAAATAAATAAATGTTGTTTATTTAACATTTTTAAAAAAAACCTCGTTAAAATTCGCCATATTAAGATTTTTAATCGTATTTTCTAATATATATATTATGTCATTAAATCGCACTATGCAGAATATCGTCAAGTGATGAAAGTGATATTTGTTCCGATTATATTGAGGAACTTTTGACTTAGAAGATAATATGTCACTTCAAATTTTGGAAAAATGATTCCCGAAACACCTATTGAATTTAATAAACCTTATGGGCTAAAAAATATTGAAGATGCTGATACTTCTTATAAAATATTATTTTTATCTGATTCCTTTTTTACATTTCAAACTAATTTATATGCAACCCAAAGTGGGAAACGGTATAATTTTCATTAATACTGATTCTTATTATTAATATTCTAAATAAAAATAGATTTAAATCTGCCAATATTTTTGAAATGAAAATATTAAAGCGATGAACATGCTAATGGGGATTAAAAAATTTCCATCCTATCGGGATTATTGGAGCACATTACCCGATTTCTACGATCAATATATAGCCAAACTAATGCCTCTAAATAGGTTTGGCTGGTTAATTACTCATAAACGATAATACATTAATGCGGTTCTTTAGAATTCGATAAACTTTACAAAGTTCGCCCTTTGATGAATATGATGCTATAAAATTTTAAAAAATACTCACCCAGCGCTTATCGGGCCGTGAACAAATCTATATGCCAAAATTGTAAATGTACCAAACTTTATCAGATAGATTCCATATTTTATAACCGCGCTTGATAGGTTTAACTGGTAAATATTAAAAGATCATTGATTCGTCCACGGCCAGATAAGGGCCGGGAGAAAAGTAATTTTGAAAATTTTGTAGCATCACATAAAAGTGCGAACTTTGTAAAGTTTATCGAATTCCAAAGATCGGTATTGCGGGTTTAAAGTATTATCGTTTATATGAATATGAGTAATTAACCAGCCAAATATAGAGGCATTAGTTTGGCTATATATTTGTGGAAATCGGGCATTGTGCTCTAATAATCCCGATAGGATAGTAATTTCCCCATTAGCATGTTCATAGCTTAAATATTTTCATTTCAAAAATATTGGCTGATTTAAATCTATTTTTATTTAGAATATTAATAAGAATCAGTATTAATGAAAATTATTCTACCGTTTCTGATTTTGGGTTGCATATAAATTAGTTTTGAAATATAAAAAAGGAATCAGATAAAAATAATTAAATATTTTATAAGGAGTATCATATCAGCATCTCCAATATTTTTTGGCCCAGAAGGTTCATTAAATTCAATAGGTGGTTCAGGAATTAAGCGAGGATCATTTTTCCAAAATTTGAGAGTATATTAAAAAAATTTACAAGATGCATATTTTCTTCTGAGTCAAAGTATTCATCAATATAATCGGAACTTATATCACTTGAAGATATTCTGTATAGTGAGATTCATTGAAACCCATTATAAAAATATAATTATTAAAAATAGGATGTATTATATATAAAAAATGATATGCATATATAAATGAATATATAAGCATTATATATACAAAATATTAGCTTAACAAATTGAATACTTTTAGATATATAAATTTTTAAGATATCCGTTTGGAAAAAATGCAAAAATATGAATAAAATCTCAATATGACGAATTTTAGCGTTATTTTTTTTTCATGTTAAATAAACATCATTTATTTATTTTATAAAAAAAATAACGTTTTAAACATGTGTAACAAATAAATCTATTTTAAAGGTGGTTAAATTTTGTACTATTGTGCAAAATTTTGAAAAATTGGTGGGTTATATTTTAGCCTAGCGTGGATGAAAGGATTAATTAAGTAATCATGTTAATAACATAATTTTGAATCATTATCATAAATTTTATAAGGTCGTCAAAAAAAGATTGAAATTTTAAAAAATAAATAATCACTGGTATTACTTCACCACAATTAAAACATAGCTAATGAAGAAGATATGTTATCTTGTTCTGATATCGCGTTCAATAATATTCATATTATTAATTTCCTCACTATATGCCTGTTCAAAATATGCTTGATTTTCTTCCTCACTCCATATTATGTAAGAATCGTTTAGCAAGGCTTTTCATTTGTGATATCTTTGTTGCTTGTTATTGAGCTTATATTATTCCTGTAATATATAAATTACAAGTCATAAAGATTGGTCACATGACTGGCAGCATTATTATCATGCATGTGCATATTTGCGATATAACTTTATACAAATAAATAGAGGTATTTTATAGTTTGTGTTGTAATGGATTTATTAAAGGCAGTTGGGTGACTGCTAAAGTTAGACATGAATAAATAATTCAAGATCAAAATATGAAGCAAATATTAGATGTAAAACCGAATCAAAATGTAATATTTTCCATTGTAATTTTTGTATAGTTATATTCAAATATTAGCACATGTATGATGATAATGCTGTCAGATATGTGACCAATCCTCAGGACTTGTAATATGTATGGTTATCACAGGAAAAGGATAAGCTCAATAACAAGCTACAAAATCATCAAAGAAGATAAGCCTCAATGAACGATTCTTACATAATAGGTGGTGAAGAAAATCTAACATATTCTAAACAGGCATATATTGATAAAAATAAACAATATGGATATTTAAGTAGTCAATCCTTTCAATATTAAAGAGGATTGTAATAAACATATCTAAATTATGAAATAAGACAAAAATAGTCGATCTTCTTCATTAACTAAGAATTTTAATGCCAGTGAAGTAATACCAGTTATTATTTATTTTTCTTTAATTTCAATTTTGAACCTCTACAACAAAACGATAATTTAAAAATTATTTTATATAATATATATAAAAAAGAAAAAGTTTCCTTGATAAGATGCAAATTAAAAAAATAAATTATTTTTTTCTTTTTTAAGTTTGTCAAAAAATTAGCAGGAACATATTTAGAATCTCTATTAAATATTCAGTTTAACGATATGGGTAAAAAATTGTTACTTGTATTAAACCTTACTGATAAAATAAAAAATATCAATATTTTGCTACATGTATCGTCATTTTAGGAAACCTTTAATCTTTTTATGTGATCGATACATTTCTTAAAATCATGGCAATTCTATATAATAAATTAATTCTCTTGGTTCAAATTTTTGAGAGGCAAATCAATACTATATTAAGTAATAACTAAAATGATAGTAGGAAATGAGGGGGCTTAATTACTTTATTATAACTATCAATCATGTTTATTAACGTAATACATTATGGCATTTGCTTATCCATTTATATTGATTACTAGAAATTCATTATTATGAAAATGTATTAAAGCTTGATAGTCAAAATTGTCATATTTGATTCTTTTTATAATCTAACCTTAATTCGAGGTTTTTCATTGCCGGAAATTTGTATAACAGGTTTTTGATTGTTATTGTTAAAATTATGATTTTGCAAATGATGATGCGGTTTCGTCTTGGCGTAACTTAGAACTACTGTTGCCAGCCTAGCTTTTTCTTTATTTTTGGGTGTTTCCAACGGTGGTGGATAGGAATAAGTATAAGGTTTAGCGTGAGAGATAAATTCAATCTTGGGCATCTTTTTATTAAAAAAAGTCATATAATTTAACACTTCACGTGATTAATTATTGTTATTGTAATAACAACAATATCGAAAAGGAATCTTATAAAAAATATATCCAAAAGTTTAGTAATAAAATTGATTTAAGAAAATTATTATAATTATATTCATTTCGGCTAGTAAAAAAATATAGGGAGGCAAGGCCTAAGAAGCTACTAATTTTAATTATATTTTTTAAGATATTTTCCTACTCCAGTAATAAATAATTTATTATTATGTTTATAATGATTATATATATGGATATTTATTATATGTTTTCTAATGTATGATTAATATAATAATTTATAAGCTTAACTACCTAACATATATCGAGATCACCATTCATTATTATAATTTCCGATGAATTAATATTGTATGTCTGAGATGAATTAAATTGATAAATAAATATTGGATGACTGAATCAACCTTATTAAATTGGCAAAGATTTTGAGCAATATGAATGTATTGGATAAAGATAGCCAATAAAATAATTATGTAGAATTTTCAAAATATGATAAAATTATGGTTGATAATAAACTTAATTTGGAAAATATATTAATAGTATATGAATGAATTATGATTATAAAATCTGATATTGAAATAATTATGAAATGGCACAATTATATCTGATTTAACATGAACAAAATAATGAATTATTATAATTGCTGACAAACTAAAATTGGTCGATGAATGAATTTGCCGAAAATTATATGGAAAGAGTTAATTTGGTATAAATGTATATGTTCATGATGATTATATTGAATGAAATTGCAGAAGAATGAAGTACATTCACAATACAATTATTAAAAATGAGAATGATTAAATTATAATTATTAAATTTGGGTAATAATTCTATATTATGAATATTTGAAAATCTGTTGATAATAATTTAACAATCATTTGGATGTATATAAAAATATGGTATAATCTATTACTTATGAAAATATGGTGTTTGGAAATCTGTTGGTAATAATTATGGAAATATGGTGATCAAGGTAAACGATATTGATACTCTATGTGAGATCAATCAACAAGGAAAACGATATTGATACTATAGGTGATAATCAATCCTACTAAGGCAGATAATATTGATGTTCTGAGAGATCAAAATTTTAATTGGGGAGAGAAGAGTGATGTCAAACACCAGATGTAAAGGTAAATGGAGAACAAAGACAAGGATTTTTTAGGAGAATCTTTTAGTCGTGGATGTTTCTAGGAAATGTAGTTTTCCTTTCAATTAAGGAAGGAGAAATGTAGTAATTAGGAATTTATTATTATGTTTTATAATGTATGATTAATATAATAATTTATAAGGTTAACTACCTAACATATATCGAGATCACTAATCATTATAATTTCCGATGAATTAATATTGTATGTCTGAGAATTACATGAATTAAATTAAATAAATAAATATTGGGAGACTGAATCAACCTTATTAAAACCATGAATTATCATCATAATGTAAATTAAAATTTATAATTATAATCAATAGCATCGATATTTAGTAAATAAATATTTTCCCTCAAATTAGGGAGATGGGGAGGGTTGGGTAGTAAGAAATCACCACAATATTAGTGAAGCTGCTCGGGATATGCAAAAGCGTCATCATCATGCTGAAATTTAATCTGAGCATTCATAAATTATTATTTTTGTGAGTTCGTTAGCAGCCATTAAAATAAGCGCAGTAAATTATATTTAAACCCCTGGTTATTTTTAAAAATTGGCATGGATGGTCCTTTTGTAAATATTTAATGTCTTATTTATAAAAAAATGCTGAAAAATTTATTTTGAGCAAGATAAACCAACTATAACACAGCCTTATTTTAGTATTGAAATATATATAGATCAAATTTTATATGACCAAATATTATAATTGTATTTTTCTTATAACCAGTGATTATTAATAAAAATTCTATACCATTTATTAACATATTGATAATTCTTTTTGATTTAATACTATACTTAAATAGGGATGTACCGATATTTCTTATCGTATCGGGTCAATATTTCATCATTTTGAAATATCGGTTGTCGGCCGATAATATAAAATTTTCCGATCCGATAAAATGGTACCTTAATTTTAAAAAAATCATTAACCTTCATAATATATTTGTGTATTACTTATTATGTATATAGATTAATGCTATTATATATATAAGTCATTTATCAATTAAAATATTTTATATACTTTTAGATTCATGAATACAAACTATAACTGATCATTATAATATATTTAAATGACTTATATTAGATGTTAGATGTGATGTATGCATTAATATAGGATCGGCCTCCAAAAAGTGGTATCGGTATTAGAGGTGGGCGCGGGCCTGGAAATTATGCGTGACATGATGGGTCACAGCGCGAGTGTGAATATATTTTAAATTATTAAGCGTGACGAGCCTTCCCAAAATTTTTGCCGGGCATGATTGGGTGTTAACATAAATTTGCAAATTTATAATATATATTTTCTGATTTAATTTTGTTCTTTTTGAAAAAAGAATAATTTTTGTAAACAAAAAAAATATACATTTTATAAATAATATTTTTTTTGTCTTATAAAATTTCAATTGAATGAAAAAAAGTAAATATCTCAACTCTCGTTCAGCGATGGAAATTTGAGAATAAATAATTCAATTTAAATATGTTCTATTTTCATTTATCTTTATATATATATATATATATATACTAATCATTTACACTCAAATTATAATCAGTCTAAATTTATAGGAAGATTAAACATCTTAATAACTTATTGTTTAAATTTTATCAATTTACCTACAAATCCAAAATACTCAATTATAATTATTTAATGTACAGTAGCTTTTCCTTTACATTTAGATTAACAAGTTTTTAAAAAAATATGTACATTTATATATTAATTTGTCTATTCTCTATATCTGTTCTTAAGATATTATTTTTTAAGCTTTTCCATTGCCTCTCAACTGTTTGAGTATATATTAAAGGATCTGACCTTAATACAAAATTTTTTAATGACTATTTAATATTTTTATCATTATTCATATAATGCTCGGTAATCTAAGCACAGATTCTCTTCTCACAATTGGTAAAATTCTGTCAACCTTTCAAAGGTGATACAATGATAATCAAAACCATTAAAAACAGAACAAAGGAAAGATTTATTATGCAGCCACTACATAAGGTAAACTTAATTCTAGATCCGAATTTCAAAAGTCTTAAGTTTTTAATAGACGAAGAAAAGGAAGATATATATAAAATAACCTTAAAAATGCTAAATGATATAAAATTAGATGATGTACATAAGTCAATGTCAACTATCATTTATAACATTTCTAATTCATCCTACACACGTAAAAAACAGTATAATCGAAATGAATTAGAGAATTTCTATAATTCTGATGAAGCATCAACATCTAAAAATAAAGTAGATTTATGGCGCATAAAACAAATAACAATGACAACATTTTGCAGTTTTGTAAGCAGGAAAATTCATTACCTTTAGAAAATTAGCTAGTAAAATTTTTCAACCCCGGCAAGGTTTCTATTGAAAGGTTATTTCTTATAGCCAATCGCTTATTAGAGAAACGAACACAATTGGAAAAAAACAGGGACTTTTTTCTTTCCAAATAAAAATTTTGATTTATAAATTGTAATTATTTTGTGTTATTTATATGGAATGAATTAGAGAAATAAAAACTATGATAGAATAAATTCAAAAAAGCGTTAAAAAAAGTTTTGAGAAATTTAAAAACACTGTGAATTTTCGGGCATGACCAATTTTTTTTAGAAGTATTGGTTAAAGAACGTGAATATTTTACCACCGTGAGGGGGGGGGGGGGTAAGGGCGTGAATAAAAAAGTAGGCCAGCGCCCATCTTTAATTGAAAGTTGAGTATTAGGGGTGTGAAAGATCTTTGTGGGTGATGATTGATGGGAAGGAATGTTTGGGGAGAGTTGACCTTCCTGTTTGTTGCATCATCCAATAAATTGTCAGTGGGGGGTATGAAGCCTGAAATCATAAAGTTGTTAATTAATGATAAGAAGGATGAAAATACTAGAAACTAGAAGATTAAGTGGAAAGAAGTCTAAACCACCCGATTTAGCAGGTAATTGGACAAGTGACCAGTAGAATGGTAATAATAATATTTTTAAAAAAATTTTAATGAATTTTAGTCATGAAATTAATTTTTAAAATCAAATAATACTAAAAACAAATAATGAAATAGATATTAAACAATTGCTTCTATTACAATATTATAATAAAATATAAAAATAAAAGTAAAGTATTAATTCAAATTAGGCCGATATTTTGCTTTTTTTGAAATATCGGATCGAGATATTTTTTAAAAAACCGATCCGATATTGTTTTATAATTGTATATATAATTTTTCTTTATTTTATAAATAATTTCATAATAATATATTAATAAAAGGAACTAAAATACATTATGTTAGGTTTAAAAAATAGTTTAAAACTTTATGCTATTTTTTGTTATATTGTCTGGAACAAGAAAATGATTTTAAAATATCTAACGAATCACATTCAGTTAGTATTGCTATCGGGCTTGATTTAACTAATTTTAAAAACGGTTAACTCAAAATTTTGGCCAAAAGTAAATTACTCAAGCCTATTGATTTTGCCCAACAGATGGCAGGAAGGTTTAAGCATCTATTGGCAGAATTTAGAGTCTTAGGTAATAATATTTTGGTTAAAATTTTGATTTAGCCCCTTTAAAAAATAGGCTAAATGGAGCGTTTAACAACACTACATTTATCCATAAACATTGCAAATATTTTAAATGAGATTATTAACTTTTGGAGAATAAAAAAAATACACTAAATCATTCGTTAAAGTCGGTTGTTTTTTTTAAATAGAAAATATTGATATTTTTATGACAATTATACAAAAGAGATGGTAAATAAAAATTAATATAAATATTGGATCGGTTTTTGGTAATATCGAGAAAAATTTGTGGATAGGCACAGCCCCAATTCAAAT